GTGGACACGACTGCAGCAGGAACCGTCTTCATGTCATTGTCCATTCTACGTGAACCAGTGATGCTGGTTCCAGAGCAGCTGGAGCTACAGCAGCTAGCAGTAAGGCAGCAAAGCTTAGACAGAATCCAAGAAACGTTTCTGATGCTCCAGACTGAAAAAGAGCCTCAGTGTGCAGAGGAGGGACTACATTTTAAAAGAAAGAGTGATGTTGGTGGCGTTTGTGTAATCCCTATTACTGCCACAAGGGGGGGACAAAAGCTCCACACTGCAGGTTAAACATGAAGCTAGCTTTCTGACACAATCACTCTCACCACGATTACGAAAGAAACTCCAATAAATAACGTTCTACAATGAATTAGAAGATGGAATAATTGGGATATAAAACAGAAAAACAACATTTTTCATTCTAGGATTCCAAGTTATTATCAGACGGTGACGTTTGGAGACGGTGATGCACCAAAATGGGAGTTACACCTCTCTGTTTCCAGGAGAGGCTGACGTACCCTCTTATAGTGCCAATAAATGTCTTGTATAGTCAGAAATACTTTCCAACAAACACTGGATGTGAGTGTTGAAATCTGACAAAGACTGCATCTACAAAACGTGCCCCCACAGCTTTTAGAGGCTCAGTTTTAAGTCTGTTATGCTTGTGGATAAAAGAAGATTCTCATTTTTAAGATTCCACTCACACATTAAGGTAAGCCAGGTACTGACCTGGAGGCTTGAGCCGCCCTTGAACCTCCTCTGGCTGCCAGTGTTACGACCTGCCTCAAGACGGCTGCAACAACAGGAGAGACACACCAAGTTTCAAAAATTAAAGCTTGTCTTTATTCCCTTAAATTATACCAAGTTAAAAACCAAACCAATGTGGGGTTGTGAGAATACAGAGTCAGTGGTGTGTGTGTGTGATGTGTGCATGAATTATGTCTGTGCAAGTGTAAATGCAAACGTACTAAACAAAGAAAACTAACCCAGGAACACACTGGGTGTCACAGGTGCTCCTGATTACCTCAAACAGCCACTCACAGAACCAATAGCTGAGCTAGAACCACCCACAAGATACCAGATGACCTCAGGGGTCATCACACCCCCCTCCTTAAAAAAGGGGTTCCAACGGGATCACCAAAAGATCCAAAACCAGACAACCTACACACAAACCTAGAGCAGTTAGCAACCATATTCACTGAATAAGTCAAATGTTTACTGACAAGCCGATAAGCGCATACTCCAAACAGTCAAACAAATGTAGATTTCAAAGACCAACGCAAACGGTCAACCACAAACTGCATCGCTCACAACTTTGTTCCTCAAACGTCAGCCCAGCTCTCTGCACAACCACCGTTACTGGCACAACCAGGCAAGGCTCACTCTCCTCAAGCACAGCTGGCTCAAACAAAGACGACACAACCAAATCCCAAATGTCATCTATACTTTTCTTTCCATTCTCCGAGACTAAAATGATCAACTATTTGAAATAATAATCTGTCTTGCAGCCATACAAACCATAATTTTAAATGTGCCATCACAGATAGTCGAGTGCTAACCAATAAACACACAAATGAAGCTCTTCAGAGAGTTTCCCCCTGACTGTCTGACCAACTTACTAGAAACTCACCCCTAGTCTTCATGTGGTTCTGCGGTGGGTGTATTAAGCACCAAACCAGCGAGTCTGTGAAGCCACCTGCAGCAGGCAACCCCACAAAACCACACGGAGTGCCCCCGAGATAGCTGTCCAAAGACAACCAACGCTAACCGCTCCCACAGCACGACCAAAAGAAAAAACTGACACAACCTAAAGAGGACGTGTCCTTTAGCCTACCGGAGAAATCTCAATAAGTAGAGCATCGAGACAACAACACTCACCTTCTGGATGGCACCAAACAATCACTGTTAAGTCACAAACAACACAAAACCACCGCAGCAGAGTCAAAGCCAGCCCTCAGCTGGACCTCAGCACTCATCAAGATCACCAATGACCTCCTCATGGCATCTGATTCTGGACTCCTCACCATCCTCATCCTCCTCGATCTCAGTGCAGCTTTCGACACCATCTGTCACACCACCCTCCTCAACAGACTTTCTTCCATTGGCATCACCCACACCCCCTTGGACTGGTTCACATCATACCTCTCTGGCCGCACTCAGTTCATTCAACTCAAGTCATTCAAATCCATCCCTTCCTCCGTCAGTTCAGGTGTGCCCCAGGACAGAGCCCTGGGGCCCCTCCTCTTCATCATCTACCTCCTTCCCCTCGGCAATATTTTCCGCAAGTTTAACATTCATTTCCAGTGCTATGCCGACGACACCCAGCTCTACCTCACCACTACACCCTGGTCCTCACAACCCCCACCTCCCTCACCAATTGCATCTCTGAAATAAAAACCTTGTTCACCATAAACTTCCTTAAATTAAACAGTAATAAAAAGGAGGTTCTCCTCATAGGCTCAAAATCCACTTTATCCAAAACCGACAGCTTTTCCCTCAACATTGACAACTCCTCTGTATCACCCTCCCCCCAGGTTAAGAGTCTGGGTGTCATCCTTGACGGTACTCTTTCCTGTCAATCTCACATCAATAACATCACCCGGTCTGCCTACTTCTACCTACGAAGCATCAATCGCCTCCGCCCCTCCCTCACCCCCCACACTGCCGCCATCCTGGTCCACAGTCTCGTCACCTCCCGTCTGGATTACTGCAACTCTCTCCTCTTTGGCCTTCCTCACAAATCACTCCATAAACTTCAACTGGTCCAGAACTCAGCTGCCCGCATCATCACAAGAACTGCCTCTATCCACCACATCACCCCCGTCCTCCAACGGCTCCACTGGCTCCCGGTTCAGTTCCGCATTCAGTACAAAATCCTCCTGTTAACCTTCAAGGCAATTCACATCGAGTAAATACCTGAATAGATGTAGTGACCTCAGTGGACGAGCCCCCATTTGCTCGGTTCCTGCTTTCAGAAACGTAACTCCGACTGTCAGTTACAGAAGAACTCACGAGTAGAATGGATGGCAGTGAAGAAAACGTTTATTTACAAGAATTGAATAAATCAAATGAATACCAAAATTAAGGTTCCAAAAAGTGTGGGGGAAGGGTCAGCTGTGGGGTCGCGCCAAATCAGAGAAATAAATATAATAAAACAGGACCTAACTCAAATCTTTCTGTAAGAAACGAAAACAAAAGGCCTGGCTGTCTTATCTAATAGTGATAGAACAACAAAACTTACATTGTGGCATCAACCCATAACCTCGTGCATCAACATAAAGAGAACTACGTGTACTCAGTCTGACCTCAGCTGAACACCTTCAAACCTGACAGCAGCGTTCAATGTGTCAGCAAGCAAGAGGGCTTATAAAGCAGTATCCTCCACACTGATTGGACAACCGGCCAGAGCACGAGCCAATCACGCACTCCTCAGGAACTCACAGGCGGCAGGAGCAGGAAATCCACAGGTGTCGCCAATCTTCCAATAATCACCTGCAGGAACGAGGCGGCGAGGGGGACACACACAAATCCTCCACTCTGCACGAAACACCGGCTACACACACGACTGTTCGGCCTGTGCTGATCCGTACCGGGTCAGAACCATCAGGTTCCTTCCAGTGAAACGGTGACAGATGTTTCTCATCTAAAACATGAAGCACTAACCTTCAACAACACACCTTCTATGTTTGAGGTTTGTGTGTTCAGTGGGACCGTGAACCCGATGACACCTGCTGGTACTCGCTGCACATTACAGCCCCGGAAAGCAGGAAGAGGTCGAGAAAAACAAACTGCGTGGAGGCCTTCAGACTGTCCCAGTTCCAAATAGTGTTTTATTAAATTGTTATTTCAGTATACATTGGGAAAGAAAACTTGTTTTTTTGCAACAAGACACCATGATGTGTCTTCAGGTTTAGCATGAAAGAAGAGTCCAGCGTAGAAAAGACAGTGAGCAGATCACAGTTCAGTAGTGTTAATCAGCCGCCTCTACTTCCTCCCACACACGTACAACCTGTGGAGAACCGTGTCCTTCACCCAGCTGGAAGGCTTTTCAACAGGAGCTTGTACTCAAGGCCTCCGTCCGTTTGCCATGCGAGCAGAGCTGGGTGTGGTCAGGCTGCAGCGCCACCAAACACTCTGGCTCCCTTCTCCAGGGAAACCTCCATGTCAGGCGCCAGGACACACGGTTTTTTCTCCCATCTAATATGCAATTTTAAACTCAACACTTTTTTGAGGAGATTAGTTCTGGGTAAAGCATTTCAGTACAAAGTGTATTCTGATCAACTGAGACTCAACAAGTGTCCAGTCCTGATGGATAACAAATGCTCAGTCCTGGTACAGACCGGCAAGGCCTCTGATGAGAGATGGTAGCTAAGGCAGATGCAGTGATGCACATACAGTAGAAGACCATGCATACAATCACAGAGACAACACAGAACTAGGACCTCATGGACATATATTCAAACCAGGCTGGTACTGCTTTAGTCTAAGAGGATTTGCTCGTAATTTAAGTACTTCAGTCATAAAAAAGTGCAGGTATTTGGTAAAACTGACATTCAAAAGGGGAAAAAACTTTATTTGGAGATACTGTGTATAAAACAGATTTGTCAACTATTGAACAACTCCCTGCTACCAAACTCCTTCTGCTGTACAGTTAAATCATCCGTGTAAATAAGTCTATCTATAGAACTGTAAATGTATTATATTACAGATATCCATACACTTTGTCACTTTACATCTGTGTCCCATCAGCCCTGCAACAGACAAACACGACAGCTTTGCGTCACCACGAGCTTTTCTGTGATATAAATGCGTGTTGTAGAAATGTCCACAGTGCACAATGAGGATATGGCTTCTACACGTCCCCATACCGTCCTGAAAACACTGCTGGGTGGTAAAGCTGTGACTTCCATTCCCCACCGAAGTGGAGCGGCCGGTCGGGCTCGTCTAACCGGTCTGAGACAGGACTGAGTGACACAGTGGTAAAGATCACAGCGACGGGAGCATGTGCAAAGTAGAATCAAGGCATGTCCTGTAAATATGAGTCAGACCCAAAACCCCCGGGAAAGCACTGATTAAAATCTAAATCTGATGACGGTTTACCACACAGACAAATGGGAAAAGTTAGAAGTGGCTGTGGCCTTAAACGTAAGAATTTAGAGAATGTCCCATAAAGAAATAAATTAAAACACGTGGCACTCACTGGTCAACAGAAACGATGTCAGTGAGCATCCACACCCTCAATAAGCTGCTCAAATGTATAGACATGTTCAATATCTGTCAAATTACTTCAGCGTGTAAGGGGGAGGAGATCTACCCAAATCTGATTCAGAGCCTTCAACGTTTCCCATTTCCTGTTCTGAGCTGTGTAGGTGACGACACAGGTCTGTGTGTGCACGTGGGTGTATGGACCGGCTGCATTAGGTCTTCTTCTTCAGCTCCTCGAACCGCCGCGTTAAGTCATCAAAGTCGATGTCGTCCGAGGTGGTGGTGTTTCCGCCGAAGGAGGATGTGGGGAGAGTGTCGGGAACAGAGGGGAGTTCTGGGAGAGCGTTGCTGTCAAACAGGTGAGACGAAGGGCCCGGACCTGGAGAGGAACATGATCATTTATGCAACGGCACATCTGGCGTCCATACAACTACTACAAAACACCTGCGTGGAGCTGACATGACAGGAAAGGGCTCATGGCAAAAATATGTTTAGGATGAATCTCGTACTCTCATCAAAAGACAGGATAAACAGACCAAACCAGCGGCGAACAGCTCCTCAGCCTCATACATCTCATGTGTCTATGCCATCGGCCTCCACTGTTGTCTAAAAACACACCTGGGCTCCACGTTGCACCGGCTCACATGACTTAATTATGACAAGCACCGAATGAATAGCACACACACACTGTCCTGCTACAGCCGGTGCTCCCCAAAGTACCAGATCAGATCCAGATACAGTCCCAGCTGTTGCTCTGATCAGGACATTATGAAGCCACCTCAATACAACTACATATTGGTGACATGACAACAAAAGACCTCAGCTGGAGGAAAACTCTGCCAGACTGATTAACGGAGTGTTGGTTTCAATCTTTGATTTAAATGGGTTGATGATGAAAAACAAATGTAAAATATCATCTGTGTTATCCTGTAATACGAGGTGGCTGGTGGAGGAACTCACCTACGGCCTGAGAAGGAACAGAAGGTTTGTCAGATAGGTCATCAATCTGAAACGCAGAGGAAATCCGTCAGCCATCATGTCACACTCATACCAAACGAAAACGAGATGTGTTAGTGTTCAGAAAGAATTAACGATTACATTCAAGATATGAGAACAAACTGAGAAAAGAAAAACAAAACGGCAAAACTGCAGGGAATGTTTGAGAAACCATCACCTTTAGTTTGACTGATTTCAGGAATTAACGAGCCTAAACTCTCAACAATCCACTTCACCCTCTGGAGTTTTTATTCCAGCCCTGCTCAGAACACCTGGTCGAGCCATAGTTAGTAGGTTAAAACACTGGACCTTCATGCTCCCTACAGACATGCGCATGAAGCAGAACTTGGAATAACATCAAAGCGTGGAGGACAGGCAGAATGTAAGCAAGCCGAATAAACTGCTCTTCCCTGAGTGGTTCCCTGCCCTGTCCGTCTGTCCATCTGTAGGAACAGGAAGGGATGGGAGGGGTTCAGTCACTTACGGACTCATACGTGGGGGGAGAAGTGGGCAGCTGAGGGGGCTGCCCTCCTCCCATGGGGTGCTGGAAGTTGTTGTAGGTTCCAATGGGAGCATTATACGGTTCCTGGAGGAAAACCACAGTTAGACACAGGAAGTGTGAAGGGGGTAGCTGACCGCTGCACATTTACAGTCGTTCTCTCTTCACCCCGTACAAAAGTCAGAATCACAAAGTCTCGGTCCTTTCAGCCCACACGCCGTCTTTCTCTTAATGACACTGTCATCCCATCGCAGCAACCATCTGTAGCAACGCACGTAAAAGACTTCAAGCAGTTACAAAAACTGAACTGTATTTGTTTAAAGCATATGTTCCTTAAAAAAGAAATCCCCGAGGACAATCCACAGAGTTTTCTGTGGGCAGCTTTTGTTGGAAAGTTGGAAGCAAATGCCAAAAACCAAGTGGCCACAGTGGTATTAGACTGCTCTGATTGACACAGACGCTTATGAGAAAACATGATGCGAGTTGATTTAAAAAAGGTCACTGTTAGATGCTTTAAAAAATCTTAACAGCAGATGTTAAAAAATAAATAGCATGTAAACATAAAACTGCATTTCATGGTAGAACTAAGTGAGAATTAAAGGCCAAACAAAGCCGCTGATGATTAGAGATGTTCCTGCAGCATGAACATGTCCTAAATCACTGCAGTACTGTGCACTTTCAACTGTTTCACTGATTTAGTAAAGATCACAACAATATCCTACGTCTACAGCTGTCCATGTGATAATACATATATATATATATATATGTGTGTGTGTGTGTGTGTGTGTGTGTATATACAATAAATACTGTGCAGAACTCTCAGCAAGACCATTAGATCATTAGATATGGTGCCTTTAAAAACAATCACTTACAGCTCCTTTGGGTGGTGGATAGTTAAATGCTGGCATAGGCATGGGCATGGGCATGGGCATGGGCATGGGCATAGCAGCAGCAGGAGGAGCAGTGAAGCCTCCGCCACCTCCTCCTCCAGACTTCCTGTCATTGTCCACATCAATCAGGTCTGCCTCCTCTCCTTGACACACCTCAGGCTGCCCGGAGACACGGTGAATGGTGAGTGGGTAAACAAACAGAAAGCACAAGTTGATCCTTCATATGGAGCAAAAACAGATTCCTGAACTCTTACCCTGACCATGGCATCAGGCTCATATGGGACATTATAGTTCTTGGCGATTTCTATCAGGTAGCGCTCCACCAAGATCTTGGGAGGTGCCTCCACACTCAGCTTGTGCATCAGCTGTAAACAGATCAGATATCTGATCAGCTGCGGTTACTCGGTGAAAGGTTCATGCATGCTTAAACAGACTTATGGGCAGTCCCTGGAAAAACGCGTCTTACCCTATCGTTGACTGTGCCGATCTGGTTTGTCCTGCACAGCTTGCCGTACTCCTTGCTGTATTTTGCACATAGCTGTTCAGACACCTGAAAGAAGATTTGAGAGACTGTCAGTACCAGCTAAGGTATACATGGACAGAAGTAGTTCCATGATGACGGCAACACGGCCAGCACTCCATCAGACTTACAATTTTTAGTTCAGACACCTCCGACTGAAGACGAGGTGCTGCCCAGATGAGGGTGGACACCGCCTCCTGTAAGCCTGGATCCAGCTCCCTGACAGGTGAAACAGAATGAGTTACAACACATAAGAGCCCCCCTGGTCCCTACAGTCGATCGTTCATGCATGCGGGTACTTCAGGACTCACTTCATAGACTGAATGAGGCCAAAGCGAGCCAGCAGCAGGTCGCAGTACAGCTCCAGGATCTCCATGGCTTCCACCAGATAGTCCTCTCTGATAATGTGCTCCACACGGATTCGTGCCCGCTCATCTTTTCCTGATGACAGGTAATCGGCAATCTCCTTCCTGGCCTTCTGAGCAAGCTCGGCTTCATTTTAAATGTTGTGGACAGGAGTGGGAAACACAGTGTCATTAGTGTGGAACACAAAAACAAGACAAACCAGACTCCAACGAGTGGCAGCAGGACACAGGTGTGCTCAGGCACTACTCACTTTTCTTTTTCTCAAGCAGCTTGAGTCGGTTGATGACAAGCCGGAGATTGACCCTGAGCCTCTCGGGTTTGAACCCTCCTCCCAGCATCATTGTGGAGTGTCTGAAGAGGAGAGGGGAAGTGACAGCCGAACCGAACCTGTACAGTCCATCACACCCTCCCCCACCTCTGAACCAGTGAGTCACTCAGTCATGTGAGCATGACCAACCCAGCCCTACACAATGACTCCGCAGATTTACGCCAAACAAACACAGCACACATGTAAACACAGCGAATCCTAAACATGAAGTTAGCTGCTAACGAACACCGCCTAGCTCACAGCAGTTAGCTTTAGCCTGACGCGGCAGATAGCTAACAGGAAGCAGACATGGCGCCGTCTAATCCATTTCACGTTTTGTTTTTTCGTCTATTTATTTTGCCACAATATTGTACGTAGACACGTTTGGAAGTCCAAACCCGTGTCTGCGTTGCCGAACCTGGCCGATAGCTAGCCTTTGTTAGCAGCGTCCTGTCAGCGCTAGCCACCTAGCTGTCGCTCAGCGCTGGCAAAACATAAACAAACTGAGAGAACACTCTCATAGCCTGAATTAGTGGGTCACCTGAACGCGGTGGACGGTTAATAAAGCGAGAGGGACTCACCTGTGCGCGTGAGTCGAGCGTGCACACCAACTTATTTGGGTTTCTGTCTGTGTTTCGTCGCCTGGTTTACTTCCGTAATGATCTTCCGTGACGTAATGGGGAATTTACCTCCAGGGGGCGGGGTCTGTGACTCAGGCTGTCAATCACAGGTGGTGTATTTCTATATTGGTAACGAGTCTTTCAGGATGTATAATAAGCAGCACTGCTGTACTTACCTGTACTGTATTCTATTTGAGAGAGAGGTGCTGCTAACCTCTGGCTCACCTCCATGTTCTGATCATCCAGCCCTGAAAACATTCTCCAAGTTAATGAGATGTTTAGAGATGAATCTGGTTTAGAGCACACACAGCAGACAGCAGTGGGGAGACATTTATACATTCACTCAGGTTCTGCTCTTCAATGAAACATCGGGTCACGACATTACTGGAGTCTCCATGTGCATATATTTGAGGTTAATATTCAAATCAAATCAAACATACATGTGCAGCCTATTCACCAGACCTGAGTTCACCACAGCACTGTACACACATATGGACCAAAAGCAAGACCGGAAAAAGATTTGGGAAATCATTAGGAGAACAAAATAAATATAAAATACAAAAACACAAACAAACAAAACAAAACAAGGCAAAGCAGGAAAACTTGTAAGATTAAATTCTTCAATGAACTTAACATAAAATAGAAAAATATTAATAGCATTAAGAGCAATAGGATGCAAGTGAAAAAAATCTTCATATTCAGATTTTTCTTGAATATGTTGATGGGGAGGAACATGTGAGGGAAAGAGGAAGGTTATCTCAGAGCTTTGGAGCTGCTGCTTGGAAGGAATGATCTCCTTCAGCCACGAGCTGATCACAGAGCAGTTAAAAGCAGTTATTCTGAGGATTTCAGAGGCCTTCAAGTGGAGCTCTGAACAGCACGCAGGTACCAACCCATGCACGGCTTTACAACACGTTAACATCAGTTCTGTTCAGCAGCGTTCTGCACCAGCTCCAGACCAAACAGAGAAAACTCACCAGAACCAGGTGCAGTAGTTCAGTGAGCTGGCCATGTGGACACGACTGCAGCAGGAACCGTCTTCATGTCATTTGTACAGAGGACGGGTTTCAGTTTGGTAATTGGAAATATTGAGCTTTTCATTCCACTGCATTCACTTCACAGCTACATTTAGACTTTGCTCACAAGCATTTTACATCCAACGAGCTCCATGTCCACAAGAGACGGCAGTAACACCTGCTTACACATGAATCCATTTCTCACGTGAAGCTGCGACCTGCGACACATTCACTAAATCTGACTGTAGATGGCACAGCCAAGACAGGTAAAGTTTCTCACAAACGTGACGGGTTTTCGTTGTTTTTGTACGTTTGGGGTGTGACTGTGGATTAACACCAAATTTGTAGGTTTGAAAGCTAAAAGCACTTTGATGTCATACGTGTAGTATTCCAGATGTTCTGTGGTTTACATTAACTCAGCAGCCTCATACACACACTTGTTTCATCTTCAGACTTTAAGATGGCTTGTTTTGTTCTCTACCAGAAGATGGCCTCCCCACATCAGCACCAGTGTTCTCCACCCGAGACACTGAGCTCTGAGACCAAACACATACGTGACAAACCGATGGAAAAGCCCGAACCTTTGACCGACAGTGGCTCCGTTACACTGTGGAGGACTTGGCTGACGTGTCCACACACCTGAGCCAGACACCTGGTGGTGGTCCCTTCAACATGTCACACGTGTAAAGTGTGTTGAAGGTTGTTTTTTATTCGTTCAGCCTTCCATCATCTGAACACTCATGGTCCAAGCAGAGCTGCTGAGGTGAGCAGGGTTGACTCACCTGTTACTTTACCTCTGCAGCCTCCTTTAAAATGTCTCTGTATGACTTTGTAAGGAGGAAAAAAACAACTCCACTCGTGTTATGAGCAACTGTTTTAATCAAAGTAGGAACATTTTACAAGGACTTTCAGATTAACATACTGCAGCTTTCACATAAAAAGGAATCTGTACAAAAAATGTAGATAATTTACAGCAAACCATCACAGTTACTACAACTTCAGTTTGCTGACAGAAAGCTCTTTGCTTCTCTTCTTCTTTGCAGACTGGTCCTTTGCACCTTTGATCTGGCTTCGGACCTGGTCCTGCAGCTGAGAGAAGAAGGCTTGAGAGGAGCGCAGAGCCTTGTCCTTTCCCTCATCCTGAAACCAGGAAACAGAGGGTTAGCACAGTTCCAGCTGCTGTCGTTGTCTGTATTCTTATATATATATATATATACACAGTCGTGTTCAAAATAATAGCAGTGGTTTTTTAAAACGTGAGTAAAGCTCAAAATCCTGATCATCTTTTTATTTCCACCCACTGGGAGCACTGCACATTATATTTTACATGAAAACATGAAGAAACATGCATCAGCATCTGAATGACTGTTAATGAAGGACAGAGTGGTGTTGGGCTGTTCTAAACAAGAGCCACAGTGTCTGAAAGACAGAGAAAGAAATGTTCAGATTCAGCCTTCCTGTGAATCACTGAACTAATATTTAGTTGGACAACCACTGTTTGTGAGAACTGCTTGACATCTGTGCTGCATGGAGTCGACCAGCTTCTGGCACCTGTCAACAGGTATTCCAGCCCAGGATGGTTTGACAACCTTCCACAGTTCCTCTGCATTTCTTGGTTTTGCCTCAGAAACAGCATTTTTGATGCCACCCCACAAGTGTTCTGTTGGACTAAGGTCCAGGGATCGGGCTGGCCACACCTTCATCCTGTTGGTCTGGAACCAGAAGCTGCTCGCTGACTGGTGTGTTTGGGCTCGTTGTCTCGTTGAAACACCTGTTTTAAGGGCAGTTCCTCTTCAGCATGAGGCAGCGCGACCTCTTCAAGTATTCTGATGTATTCAGACTGATCCATGATCCCTGGTATGTGATAAATAGGCCGACACCACAGTAAGAGAAGCAGCTCCATACCATGATGCTGCCGCCACCGTGCTTCACGGTCTTCACCGTGTCCTGTGGATTCGGTGTTTGGGGGTCGTCTGCAGCCCTAGACCCAGACAGAACAACCTAGCTGTCATCAGTCCACTACATGCTACTCCATTTCTCTTTAGGCCAGTCGATATGTTCTTTGGCAAACCGTATCCTTTTCTTTTTTTAACAGTGGGACTCTGCGGGCTTCTCGCCGAAAGATTAGCCTCTCACAGGCGTCTTCTACCTGCCACAGGACTCACAGGTAACTTCAGACATCTGTGATCTCCCTGGAGATGATCCTTGGCTGACTCTTTGCCATTCTGGCTACTGTTCGATCCATTCGAATGGCCGTCTTCTGTTTTCTTCCACGTCTCTCTGCTTTTGTGTTCCATTGCAAAGCACTGGAGATCATTTTCTGCACGTCTCTATGCGTTTCCTCTCTCCAGTTAACATTTTAAATACAGCACGCTGTTCTTCTGAACGGTGTCTGGACCGAGCCATCTTCCTCAGGTTTTCAGAGAACTGCATGTACAACCTGTGCCGGTTTCGTCCTTCAGTCAGGCCACCTGAATGACTCACTGGTTGAACTCCACCCTGCTGCTGTCACCTTGAACGCACCCCTTCAGTTCATGACTCAGTCACACAGACTCTGCATGTCAGGAATGTTGGTTCTGTTGGGTTCTGTCTCTGCTACATCATTTGACGTGTGATGATGGAATTTCTACCAAAAACAGGCTGATCTGGTTACTCATGTTGGACTGCTACTACTTTGATTTGATTATTATTTATTTATGATTATATTTGATTTTTTTGTTCTTTTTTAAGCGTAGTTCTAAACAGCTGAGAGAACGCTGGAGCAGATGCTTTCCTCTACATTTAACTGTCCAGCTGTACCTTCTGAACACGGCAGTACATTTGAGACGTACACCGTATCATCTCAGAGATCACGTAAAGCTTATTTTGCCATTAAAATGCACAGCATGTTCCAGTGGTGGAAACACAGGCTGAGAAATCCGTAGGACTGCTTAAAATAGATGACCTAGTTAGTGATGTCAAAATGCAGCAAACATCAGCTGATCGGGCCGCGGCTCAAACTCACGTCTTCTCTGATTCGTTCTGTTGATTCAGGGGAGAGATATACATCCATCCAGCCGTTACCTATACACCGCTTAATCCTCATTAGTGGAGATATACAAATACTCTGTATAAATATGCTCCTTTACAGGCTGCAGCCTTGTTTCAGTGATAACATGTGCTCACTACTATTCATGCTGTAACATCAGACTGTCTCTCACGGGAACGAGCCAACTTTGGCCTCTTCATTCTCCTCTGAGTGCTTTCATCTGTAACCCTGCATTTCATTTGGTAGCCACTAGCTGGCGTATGCGCTACGTTTCTTCTGAAATGGTGAGATGTACAAAATGGCATAAACAACACATTAAGTGTAAGTGCCTGAAAATCTGACAAAGCACCGGTTCTGGATTCAGGGATCTGGTTCTGTTCAGGCTGCAGTCAGCGTTCACATCAGCTCATTTAGGTTTTAACTGTTTAAATCTTTGAACTTCACATTTTTAAAACGGACAACTTTGACTTGACAGTGCGACTCGTGCAGGTCCTGAAAGCAAACTGATGTGAGGAAGTCAAACAGCTCACCTTGAGGACCGTCGCTTTGCCTCCTTTCGTGAGTTTCTTCAGGCTTTCTGTCACTTCAGCCTTTGATGGCTTCTTGTTTTCCCCGATCGTGCTGGCCTCTTTAAGCTTCTGTCTCTTTTCTTTCTCCTTGATCTTCAGACGCTTCACCTTCTTCTTGTGGCGTCTCTCACGCTTCTTGTCTGTTGACGTCTTCTCTGTACCACCCAGCAAATCTCCAGCTCTGTTTTTCTCCTTTGGTTAGAGGAAAGTATTATTAGACTCGCCAAGCAACTAAATATGGAAAAATCAAAGTGAAGTGTTGGAGCTTGGACTGATGACACACCTTGATCTCCTCTGGTGCCAGCAGTGTGGCATCGCTGGTGCCGACCGGAGCCACCTCCTCCATGGTAACAGACGGGAGGTTGGACACCACTTTGACTTCAGGAACAGGCTGTGGAAAGAGGACGACGTGAAGGCAAACATCAGCAGCACTCACTTGCTTTGAATTCCAATAAATCATTCACATGTGTGATCTACCAACGCCCCATATTCCTGCTTTATGAGCCTGGAGCAGGTCCTGTATGCCCCCTTATGTCCAGATGCATTAGGAAACATGGGGTAAACTGAAAATGTCCCTGATTGGCAACAGAACAGTTGTTTTACTAACTGCTGTCAGGAAAAACTCACTGGCTTAGGTGTGAAGTGGAAGTTGGAGAGAGCGTCCAGCTTCAGGAACAGCGTGTCCATGAGTTTCTGAATCTCCACATGGGCGGGGTTCTCCTCCTCCTCTGTCTTTTGCTGAAATAAGAAAAAGAAAATGTACTCAGCAAAGGTTTGCATGTGCTAAGAGTAGGAGTGAGAACAAAATAAAAGTCAAACCTGAGTCTGCTTGAGATATTCCTGCTCGTAGATTTCTGCCAGACTCTGCTTGCTCTTCTCCTGGTCCAGGGTTAACCTCTTCTTGTACTCAAACACCTCCTCTTTAGGCTTCTCCTTGCGGACTACATCATCAAATGCCTTCCAAAACCCAAGTGAAAGACGTAGAGTTGTAAATCGAGCAACAGGAAAACAAAAACACTTGACATGTTTTCCAGACAGTAAGTAACCCGAACCAACCTGGTCTTTGATTCTCTGTTTGATGATGTCTTCCAGCTGTAGCGTGGTGTCCTCAGTGATAGCAGGAGCTGGAAGCAAAATCACAACAGTCACATTTTAATAGTAACTCTAATTAAACACTACAAATAACACTGATGTAAACAACCGTCCCTCACCCGTCCTGGACGCCTGCTCAAACTCCACATGTTCCTCCAGCATGCTGTTCTCTGGACGGGTCTGTGCCGTCACCTCTCCGGACAGCTGCCAGGGCTTCTCTCCTAAAGCCGCCTTCTCCAGCTCCTCGATCTGCTTTGCCATCTGCAGTTGGAAGCAACGACAGGACGTAACAGTTTCTATTAGGGAAGTAAACTCAGGCCCTGTGCTGGTTTGGGTTGGTGGGAGCGATCTGCTTCAGGAGTCCAGCTGGAAACTCATATTTATGGATTTGAAACAAGCCTTCAACACACATGGACCTCTCCAGGTAAATGTGATGCAATCATTTACCCTCCGTCACTCGGTTAACCAAGGAACACTTCCACTTTGAACACAGTTGGAGTCTGGATAGAATGCCATCAGATGGCAGTGTGCAGCTTGTACCACCTTCTTCACTGTCTCACCAGGATCTCTGGTGGCTTCCAGCTCCATAAACCAGGGAACAGCAGGTCAAAAGTGCCTTTAAATGCAGAGGAGATGCTTCTCGTGCCAGATCAATCTACACAAACTACTCCCCCCTGGCTGTACGACATAAAGAGGTTCTTCAGAGTTACACTCATTCATGCTGACTGCATAAAACAATGTCCAGCAAAACAAGTGTGACACAGCGCGTGGGCAGACCGGAGCTCAATGAGATCCTCCACTGGAAAGCACCTGTGAGAAACACCTGTGTGCACGCTTGGATTTGCTTTGTCGTGATGGTAAATAGTGAAGCTGATGATGTAGCCGTGGGTTCACCATAGCAGAAGCACTGAGCGTCCTGTGGGCTCATGCCGGTCTGTTTTAGGACTTGAGCAACACAGAAAGTGCTAAAGCTCATCTCTGATCACTGACCAAAGCCCTCCAAGCTCATCACTGTCTATCAGTTACATATTTAAAAGACTTTACCTCTGAAAATATTCCTGTTCTGCCTTCAAATGGCTCACATGAAAAGTCCTATCCTTGCTTCCTCTACATTGAGCAGATCTAAGAGGGAGCTGGCCAGTTGTGATATCAGAGTAATCCAGCCAGACAGAGATCCCTGAAGAAGATCCACACACGTGTCACCATAACGTTCTCATGTTTTCATTTCATGCTCTGTCTTGCAACTCTTGTCACCATTTTGCCATCATATGTAGATCATTTCAATTATGTAAAAACAAAAAGTAAAAGCAAAAAGCCATCTGCGTTCTTCTGCTGAGAGCACCATGATGTAAACACTTTAAACATCATGTTCACGTCACCAGAGAAGCTCCAGGGAATGTGAGTTTGACTAGTAAACGCTGTTCAGCTGCTTCTTTCAGGCAGCTGTAGCTGCTTATCAAACTCCATATTTCTCAGGTATCAGCAGGAAGCACTGAAAAAGTCCAAAACTGAAACTTGGCATCAGAATCCTGGTCTGAACCACCGTCATCCTCCTGATTCCACTGACTACGTTTCCAGAGCGAGGCCTTCCTCGTGTTTAGCTGTATTCTCCTTCATCACAACACAAACGAAGCTTCGGTGCATCAGAAAACAGATTTTCCTAAAGACAGCGACTGGCCAATGAGACAGGTGCAACCTCGGTACCTTTTCTTGCCGTTTCTCAAATGATGACTTTGATTCGGACTTTGCTGAGCTCGGCGCTCGTCCTCCAAAGATGTCCTCCAGGTCCTCTCCTTCGCTCTCGTCATCCGCTGACTGATCAAAGGTGACTTTCTTGTGAGATGCTTTGGACTGGCTTCTTTCTTCATCGCTGGCAAAGGGCAAACACGCTAGAATCAAGCAAACATGCTTCTCCCACACATCACTTCACAGATTTCATCATTCTTTTGCTCACACTTACTCATCATCACCCTCCTCTTCACCATCATCTTCTTCGTCATCCAGCTCTTCTTCACCTTCCTCCTGGCCTTCATCCATGCTGTCATCCTCTCCATCTGACTGCTCGTCTGTTTTAGCTGGCTCACCATCCACAGCATCAAAGAAGTCCTTGTACTTGAGATTCCTGGAGCTCTTTACCTGTCAACACAAACACCAACCTGGATATTTACTTCACTCTGTACCATCAGGACCAAATGAACTACGTGAGAATCTGTGACAAACACATACAGTCTGTTTCTGCTGCTTTTTGGTTGAAAGTATTTTAACTAGGTCGAGATCCTCATCCTCATCAGAGGGCAGGTCCTGAAAATAGTCCACGTCGTCTTCATTCTCCTTTCCCTCCCGCTTGTCCATGTCGTCAAGAAATGACTCCATTTCTGACAGTTTGAAGAACTTATCATCCACCTCGGAGGGAACCGTCTTGGTTTTGGTGCCTGTCCTTCCAATCTCCTTCTTCTGCTTCTCTCGTTTCTCCAGAGCATCCACATCAAAGTCTAAATCAGAGTCCTCTCCTGAGTAATCCTCTGCTCCGTCTGCAGCCTGCGCTGCCATTTTCTTAGACTGTTTAGGGATGGGTGGTTCCTCAAAATCATTTTCATCATCTGTTGCTCCTTCTTCCTCGTGACCATTCTCCTCCTCGTCTTCCTCCTCCTCGTCTTCCTCCTCCTTGTCTAGAACAGTCAATGTCTCGTCTGACACAGCTTCATCAATTGCATTTTTAAAGTGTTCCAATACAGAATTGTTCTGTAGCTCCAGTTCCTGCCAAATCTGCTCGTCATCAAAGTTCTCCACCACGAGCTGAGCCAGGGGGCTTCCTCTGTAATGTGCAGGCTCCTGAGCTTTGTGGAGGTCATACAGGGTCTTCGTGAGAGAGGTGAAGTCTGCTGCCACGCCATCCTGAAGGCTGCAGGAGGGAGAACACACAACCACATTAAACACCTACAGGTGGATGAAATAACAACACAGCTCAGGATAACGGAACCCAGAGACCACTTCCCACAGCACGCAGATCAGATGAATGTAGATGTGTGAGGCCCGCTGGCCGACTGCAGCGCCGCCCGGGTCGTGGACACCTGAACTAATTCAGTGTGTGTTCATGGATGTAACACAACCTTTCCAGAACCTCTCGATAAAGAACTAACAGCAGCGAACTGAAACTCCTTGTTTGTAGATTCAATGCTTGGTGTAGATCTAGAAGGATGCTGCTGATATCGATGGTATTTATTTTAAAATGACAAATCAAACTATGTCTGATTAGAGCATCAGTCATCAGCCTTGTTCCTGACAGATGGCAGCAGTGACCCGTCTCTAAAGCAGACTACAGACCCAGTTATCCTCCGAACAGCCTGGAAACCTGCACAGCAGACTCAATCTACAAACTACTTGGTTTCCAGAAGCCTCCCAAACTGTTCCACTGCCGGCAGCTCTGTGATTTCATCGTTTAAATCTCACATAACACATCAGTAAATACAGAACATGACTCTACTGGATCAGGAACCGGACTGCTCCTGTCTGTCCCCCTCCTGAACAGAACCGGACCTCTGCAGCCAGGCACACGTTCAGACATGCAGGAAACTACAAGGAGGTTCCATTTCCGGTGGTTTTCACCGATTAAACAACAAAACATGACTTCATTAACTTCTACTTTTCTCATTCAGTCGTTTCTACATAAAATACTTTTGAAGGCAGGAACATCTCCGGAGGCACGTTCACGTGTTGATGCGTCCGTTAGCTTTAGCCGGCTGTTAGCTCGTCGGCGCTTCTCTCCAAACACGAGACTCAAAAACACATTGAACAACAAAAACAAACAAACAAACAAACACTCGCCTCAGGAAGTCCTCTGGCTGCGCTGTGCTGGCATCTACCGCCTTCACACACTCTGCCAACACACTCCACACATCTGCACTAGCCATGGTGTCCCCACATGTGATCGTCTGTGTCGCAGGTAAACAGGCTCCCCGGGAAACTCTTCCGCTGCCGCTTGGTTCCGAGCTACAAACATGGCGTCCGCCGCGCTGAAGGTTGCAGGTTGGTCGGTGCCGATAATTCTCTGAATAGCTTCTGTTCCAGATGTAGTTACTGTCTGATCCACGGTAGAACCACAGAACTTTACACAACTGTGTTGTGGGTGAAGAGGACGAGTTCCT